GTGGTCGCGTCTAGGGCCACAGTCCCAGCGGGTTAAATGACCTGTCCGTGTGTCGTTCCCACCACCACCACCCCGTGAAAGAAAAGGACCTCCCGGGCAGAGGTGGGGTGTCAGGGAATGTGGTGCTGTTGGATGTTTGGGGTGCCATGGGGCGGATAATGGAAGGGGCGCAAGGCGGCCATCATCGCTGCACTCCCTCCCTGTGGCTACGCACCCTTAAACAGAATATCCGTACATCAGCAACTGTGGTACAGGCAGGAGGGAAGTCGGAAGATCCCGCTATCGGTGGCTCTCGGCATCAAATCATCTCTGTGGTGCTTTAGCCAGGGCCCGGGGCTGCTGGGATAAGCCGCCAGATAACCTTCAGGTTTATGGTGTGGTGAGTCACCCCCTCACCGATAAACTTGACTGACAGCTTCACAAATCAGCTGCCGGTGATTAACGCCAGGCGCAGAAAGCGAGCTCTGGCCTGAAGGTTTTGACTTCAGGAAGCTTCTGTCTCGTCGGTATTAAGGGCTTTGTTCTCCAGAGATGCAGAAAATACATGCAAGTTGTCTTTCTGGAAACAAACTTGCCAGTAAACAAGTTTTCTGCTGTTTTTTCTTCTTTGGGTATACAAAAGCAACGGTAGCGGTTATGCTGATTGAAACCAAGTGAGTTAATGGTGGTGTATATATAGTTACGGCCTTATTTACACTGAGGTAACTCTACAGACTCGGGTAGTGTTGGATGAGGGATTACAGTGTGCTCCTAAGCACACACAAAATAATATCGCTGACTTTATTTAAGATGCTGTGCTTTGGTACCACAACAATAGAGCAGCAGCTCTGCCTCACGTGTCATGATTTCACTCTTCTTTTACCTAAGCACTTGGAAAACAGATGATCTCCTTTTGGAGATCTCCTAATTAGGAGTTGGGGCTTTGCTATTTGATTCCAGCAGGACATATCTTGAGCACACCAGCGCAGTACAAACCTGCAGTCCTCTCAGAAACTCTCTCCTGGTGTTTCTCCAGCTTTTCCACCCTCCTTTTCTGCACAAACACACAGCTGCAAATCCAAGTGAAAACTTCAGCTGCTTCATTTGCAGTCATCTCCTAAGGAAGTAGCTCTTCCGTGCCCTGTTGTTTTCTGAGCTATCTTCATCAAGTGGCGTCCAGCAAGCTCTTCAAGATAAACATGCTACCCATGGGCACAAACCACAATGAATCTTTCCTGCCCTGACATGAGATCCTGCAATCATGAACTAAATGGACTTAAGCTTTTGTATATAAACATAAATCGTAGATGAGTGACCTGCATGTATCCATATTATATATATATCTATGTGTGTGTAGATTTGATAGATAAAAGTAACGGTAATCTGAGCAAGATGCAAATGGTATGGAATAAGGGGTGGAATGTCCTGGTTTGAGGTAAAACAGGACCAATTTTGTTCAGTAACTTCACTTCTTAGCTGGGCCTCTTCTAACTACTGAAATTAACAGCATATTGTGCAGACAATGTTCACTCTCTCAGAGTGATAAGACCTATGTTTATAGCTGATGCCCAGGCATGGTATGCAGAGAAGACCTTGCTTATACTTATTGCTATAACACCAAAGGGCAACCAACTTTGTTTTTTGCCCCGTTGGAGGGTCAGAAGTGGAAAAGCATAGTGGGGTCCCACCTGCAGGGAAGAGCAGACAGAACAGGTGACCCAAAACTGACCAACAGGGTATTCCATCCCATCTGCCTCATGCTCAGTATAAAAGCTGAGGGATCAAAGGGTCAGCTCTCTCTTCCTTCAATGGCCGACGTCTGAGGAGGACTCTGTTCTTCTGCCTTTGATCCCAATCCTGAATGCAGATCCGGAATCCAGTTCCCGTGTGTCACTGAGTCCAGCCTGGGACTGCCCCCATGCCAGCCGGTGTCGTAATTGTCATCTCGGGAGCTTGATACGGTTTTGTATCTATTTCATTATTTCTTTTTATTTTATTATTAATATTTCATTTAAGTAGTTTAGTTCCTTCTAAACTCCTAAGTCTCTTTCTCCCTCCTCTGCCTCTCTCTTTGAAGAGGGGTAGAGGGGAGAATCTGTCGGTCCCGCCTGTGGTCCCCCAGGTCCTCAATAGTTGATTTGGCCTAAACCATGACACCCAGGGTTTTTAGCTTGGGATGGTGTCTCCTTTTGCATGGAACAATTTACTCCCTTTCCCATTTCATGACCATCAGATGTAGTGAGCTCTGTGACTGTGTCCAGCTCCAGGATTGTCTCTCCCTATAACCAGCGTGTGGAGAACAACTTTGGCAGCACAGTAGGTATACCAGCAGCACTGCCATGTGGCACTCCTGTGGTACTTTCGTCTCTTAGCAGCCTGTCTTTCCCTGCCCATGCACAGCCTGCTTCTTTAAAAGCTGTTCCTCCCCGCTCTTGGCTTATTTCTTAATAAATGACACATGCCGCCTTGAAACAGAGAGATTCCTGGCAGGAACAGGGGTGCAGGTTGGATTAACGTACTGGGAAGGAATAGCTGCTCAGTGGGAAATGGTGGGTGTTTTTCCCCTCTTTGCTGTATCACAGAGCGGAACAGAAAACTACCAATCCTGAGGATCTCCCAAAGGACTTTGAAACAACCAGATGCTTTTCCCTGAGTCGGCTGGCTCCTGAGATCTGCCTGTAATAGTGCGGGACAGTTCCTGTGGCCAGGAGCAAAGATGGTCTTGTGGTGAAGTCACTTGGCAAAGGCAGCAGGTTCAGCTCCCAGCCCTGTTGCAGACTCTTTGTGATCTTATCTGTGCAGGTCCAAGCTGTGCCTTCTCCCTCTCCCCTTAGCTCACAGCTGTGAGTGTGCATGCTTGGCATGCAAACAGTGATGAAATTAACTCTACTGGGAGAAAAACAGAAGGTGCAAAGCTACATTTCCATTAACAACATAATGTACTGTATTAGAAAATCGAGCAACCAGCCGCTATGCTGAAAACACCTTTGCTTTTCATCTCTAATCACTAATTCATCTTCCCTCCCAAAGGATCAAGTTCCCCACAGGGAGTCTTTCCTGAGAGATGTCACTTGTTTCATGGGGTAAGAAAATAACTAAATCCCTTCCAGAGATGCATATTCGCTGACACTCAAGCCTGTGCATTGCAATTTGTTGGTTTTTTTTTTTTTCCACTCCTCCAGAGGTGATTTTGTGCATTTTCTTCATTTCATAATAGCTATGTCTCTTAACTTTGAAACAACATCCTTCAACAAAAGTCCGAGATAAGTGTCTAAACCTTGCATAAAACAATGCAGGACAAAGACAGAAATACTGCAGTCAAAGCACTTGACAGAAATCAGTGATTTTTTTTTTTTTCCT